ATATCTATGTATATATCTTATATTTAAATTTATTTTTTTTTTTTTTTTTTTTTGCCAGAGGGTTCATGCACTCACCAGAGAGACACAGGGAGAGGAACAAAGCATGCCCAATAGGTCATGGTCATGCTACAAACCCATCTCTTTGATTTCTCTAGGCTGTCAGGATTTTGGGCACACATACACTTTTTCAGGCCTCTGGGGCTGCACAAGTGATGTGGTATTTTGTTCCCTTAACCACTAGGCCATAGAGTATGCCCCATTGCTGATATTTAACCCTTACTTTTGCTTAAACCTTACTTTTGTAGCCAAATATTCAGTTATTTAAGCTTGAAAATTCTAAAGTGATTTTTCTCTTTTTCAAACAAAGATGGATTCAGTGAGCTTACTTGTGTATCAGTTTCCTCTGCTCTAACTGTATTACAGCTTAGCTCCAAAATAAGTTAGAGAAATAGGTATGAGAGTTAAACCTTGGTTTTATTTTATATTTATTTTAATCAACAGGCAAAAGAAGATAAAAAAGCCGAAAAGGTTGATTTTCGTCGCCTAGGAGAAGAATTCTGTCGTTGGTTCTTTGAACTTCTTAATTCTCAGAATCCTCTTCTAGGACCACCTCAAGATGAATGGGGGCCACAGCACTTCTGGCATGATGTCAAACTTAGGTTTTATTATAACACATCAGAACAAAAGGTGATAGACTACCATGGAGCAGAAATCGTCAGTCTTCGTTTGCTGTCACTAGTGAAGGAAGAATTTCTGTTTCTCAGCCCCAACCTTGATTCCCGTGGACTGCAATGTGCTTCTTCTCCCCATGGGCTAGTTATGGTTGGTGTTGCTGGGACTGTCCACCGAGGAAACACTTGTTTGGGCATTTTCGAACAAATTTTTGGACTCATCCGCTGCCCTTTTGTGGAGAATACTTGGAAGATCAAGTTTATCAATCTGAGAATTGTTGGAGAGAGTTCCCTTGCTCCAGGAACATTACCGAAACCAGCTATTACATTTGAGCCGAGTGACCTAGAGGCCTTTTATAATGTAGTCACTTTGTGTGGCACCAGTGAAGTACGATTTAATGTAAAGCAGGCATTCGATAGTGGAACTGGAGACCAAGCCTTATGTAGTGGAAACGAGGCATTACTGAACAAAAGGGAACTGAGTTTACCTAACCCTGTAAAGCACTGAGCACTGTTTATCAGCCTAAAAAATCTCATATGCAGAAATTCTTCCCAGTATTACAGAAGTAAAGTGATTTCAGATGTAAGAATTGACATATTTTAGTTGAAATACCTTTCTGGACTACAGACATTATGTGAATACTTGCCTATTTCTACTTGAGTTGCAACAAATGTTCTGAGAGCTCAATGCAGTTCATCAAATAAATCTCACTTTAGATGTTATAGCTAACCGTGTGCCTTAGAAACCAGGTAATAATTTCACTTTGGTTAGTGAGCATTCTGCTCGTTCCGCTGTTGGTCATGTGAGAAAGGACTAAAAATATTCAAGGCTTCCTCTAAGTTTCTTATTTCCTTTTATCTAACTCTGGATAAATGGATCTTTTACAAATGCACCTCACTATAGTATTGTTTTTTGGGAAAAAAGTATTAAATATTTTAGAGATGTTTGATGTAAAACTCAGAAGTTCTCAT